ATAGTCGTCAGTACGACATAAAAGACAATTGTTTACACTTTTTTGACAACTATGACAAAAAAGTAGATATAACCTTATATCTATATATCTTATATATATTTGATCGCTTACAACATGATATTCTCTTACGTGAACTTAACAAATGCGGCCTTTCATTTAATTTTCCAACACTTTTGCACTCCTATCTTTGTGACCGTCGTCAATACGTATGCTACAGGGGGTTCTTTTCACACAGTTTTTCTGTCTTGTCGGGTGTTCCCCAAGGATCGATCTTGGGTCCACTGTTGTTCCTTATATTTATTAACAACATTGTCGACAATTTCACTGTACCTCATCTTTTATATGCCGATGACATGAAGTTATACTTAAAGATAGGAAATGTACAGGACTGTTTGTACTGCAGGAGAACCTTAATAGACTGAAACTCTGGTGTGAGTTGAACAAATTGCCCTTAAATGTGAAAAAGTGCAATGTATTGACTTTTTCTAGAAAGAAAGATAGTATCTATTTTCCGTACGATATTGATACTGTACTTCTTAATAGACCAGATGCTGTTCAGGATTTAGGAATCTATTTTGACCCTAAACTCACTTTTAAGTATCATGTGCATCATATTGTGTCGGAAGCTAACAAATGTCTGGGTTTCGTAATTCGCAATGCTCGGGATATCTGCAATGTTGATACAGTTAAGTTGCTGTATAATTCTTTCGTTAGACCTCGATTGGAATATTGTTTCCTGATTTGGGCTCCAAGTTATGTTACTTATATTGATTTGTTGGAAAGAACGCAGCGCAGATTCTTGAAGTTGTTAAACTATAAAGACTTGAATGTATATCCTCCGGTAGGGTATCCGCAGCACTTGCTCCTCCGAAAATATAACTATCAATCTTTAAAATCTCGGCGTGATGTGCACAGTGTTATTATTCTTTTCAACATAATAAATGGAAATTTGGATATACCCGAAATTTTACAAAAATTTTACTTTAATGTTCCTTCTGTAAGCACACGGTCTAATGAAACTTTTTATTTGAAAACAGCTAGTACTAATATACTAAAATATTCTCCATTATATGTTATGTGTAGAAATTTAACAGCTGTGCAGGACAGTATAGATATCTTTGACATTAGAATCTCTATTATTAAAGAATTATTTTGATGTTCTCTTTAGTGTTTCTGTTTGTGATATATTGTTTGTGATCTACTCTGTGATTTCTTGTCTTTATAGTATATGTATATGTATTTATTGTGTTAACTTTCTTATGTAATTTTTCCCTGCTCTGTAAGTGGGTTCATCCCGTTGAGTAGGTGTAGGTAATAAATAAATAAATAAATAAATAAATAAATAAATAAATATCGCTGAATTCGTCTTTAGAAGGGCTATCTATTTATACTATAAAATATAGAGCGTCCTATTAAAAAAAATGTCGGTAGTGTTATAGGTCTGTCAAACATAACTCAAAAAATAGAAAATGACAATTTCTATTTACTAATTGACTTGTTTCAGCGATTTTTTTAAATTCAACTGGAAAAAATATAAATGTTTGTTCCATCATTTTGGGACACAGAGTATATAGCGTGGAACAGGCAAATGGAATAGTATCTGAATTGTGCATATTTATAAAAAATCCCTATATAGATCGATTGGATTTTGAATTGACATCCTGCAACGTAAAAACATCCTTAAATTCAACCCCCTCCGAGTTGCAACCCCTAAATTTTTAAGTTGAAAGTAGGGGCTTGTGATACCTCTATTGAAAGGTTTTTTCAATCTCTATTCAAAAATGCTATGGTTTTTGCATTTATTGCAAAAATTGGTAGTGAAAAAATAAATCTGACGGAATTCCCTAGAGCAAATTAAAAAAACAACTTAATTTCAACGTAGCAGATGTTCGAAATGAGTTCCTTGATCGTTTTAGCAATTTCCTAACCGAAAATAAAAATGTCTTCTACCGTTTTCCAACATCTGAGGCGTGACCCATCTAACCCAACTTTATCGCGTGGCTCAATTTTGTATTCTATACTTTTCATATATCCCCACAGAAATTAATCTAAGGGTGTAAAATCAGGAGAACGTGCGATTCTAGCGATCCTCGCCTTATCCACCGATTTGGATATGCTAAGTCGAGAAATTGCCGGACATTTATGTGGTGGTGCTCCATCCTGCTGGAACCATTTCACATCGATTGGAAGTTGTAGATTTGCTTGAGTAGGATATGTTCGTCACGACATTATTTTAGAGCAGAAGTAAATAATTATCTCTATTCAAATTGTGATCATTAAAAAAGGGACCAATGACACTGTTCAATTATCCCCGCCCAAACATTAACTCTTTCAGGAGCTTGCGTATGTACTTCTCTCATCCAGAAATGATTTCCATTAGCCCAGTAGCGACAGTTTTGACGATTGGCATGACCGTGAAGAGTAAAAATGGGCTCATTGTTATCTAACATTTACATCATTTGTTCCAAAAAAATCGTTCTTCTATCAAAATCGTCCTCATTAGAGTTGGGAGTTGGGATCAGCTTATAGGGATACATTTTACTTTCTTTTAATATGCGAATAATCAAAGAATGGGAAATATTCAATGCTGAAGATGCTTATCAACTTAAATCATGTTGGTTTTCTTCAAACTCAAGCAATACATCTAATTTGGTACCGCTATTCATTGCATTGGTAGCTTCTTCTTTTATTGTTAATTATACCTTAGGATATAGGTGGCAAATCAGATTTTTTTTTAAATAAGTGAGCAACTTTGGCCTGTGATCGCCCCTATCTCCGTAACTAATCATCTGTTTAATTGTTATTTATGCATTTATGTTAAAAAAATCATGCTTAGGGATTGCAGTTAGCAAAATTCAAATAGTTATATAGAACATTGACAACTTTTTATTGCTGTCAATTAAATAGCAAGTGGCTACGACGTTTTCAATAAAACTGGCAATGCCAGCAATGAAGAATTTTGACAAATTTTTATGCCTTCGTTTTAGTTGATAATGCTGAAAAAGGACACTGATTTTTTTTGCTAGCCTGCAAGAACAAAACATGTATTTATGTAAACATTGTCCAAATTCTAAGAGCTTTTCCTAAAATTCATATGCTCCAGTGGTGAAGGTACAGGGTATCGGTGGCATATTTTTCTAAATAAAATAGTACCTACGCCAATACTTTACAGCCATGATATTTTCGGATTCGACTTTCAATTTTCTACAAATTTCTGCGCACTTATGTTTTTCGAAAAAAGGCTGATTGTCGAGTAAAACTTAAAAAACGAACTGAGAACACTTTTACTTAAATGACATGACAAGCACTAATCATTCGGTTATTTATTCGAATAAAGAAATTGGTAATATTAGTCATCATTTTAATGATTTTATTTGAGTAAATGCTCAAAAATACCTCCATTTCCACGAACACAGGCTCAACACAGTAACGAAAATGTAATTTGTTTGAAATTTATTGTTGCTTGAATCTGATGAAGAGCATTATTTATTCTTTCTTCTAACTTAAAAAACATTATATTCGAATATCGAAGTGCGTTCTCAGTTCGGTTTTTTACTCAAAAATCAGGCTTTTTCCGAAAAACATAAGAGAATAGCAATTTGTAGGAAATTGAAAGACGAATCCGAAAATATCATCAATGTTGCCGTAAAAGAGTAGTGTACTATTTTATTTAGAAAAATATGCCACCGATACCCTGTATCTCCTCCACTGGAGCATGTAAATTTTAGGAAAAGCCTTTGGACAATGTTTACATAAATACATGTGCCCAATTTCAAATTATTTCACTAGTTTTTAAATTATTTAAAACAAATAAAAATAGAATAGAATAGAATATAATAGAATAGAATAGAATTTATTGATCTACATTAATACATAACATATTATAGTAGCTAGTCAAGGAACACAATAAAAACAACAATTTAAAAAAAAATAGAACTAAAGCACTAGACATAATTATAGAAATACACATAGATCTAACAATCAAAACAATATTTTTTGAATACCCTGCATCTTTTTAACGAAACGTCCTAGATAAAAACATTATAGGAAGACTCTCTTTAAAATTCACCAAAGAATACGAGGTTACATTTTTGGTCGTCATTTGTGAATCACCTTGTATACTTTGTTTTCATAATAAAGTATTTAAAGAGGTGTTTTATAAAGTCAATAGCGAAAAGCATAAATGTGCACTGATGGTTCCATAGCAATCTTGACTTTATCCATTGTGGAAAGTAAATAAGTCAAAATATTGTGCAAACTGTCAAAGTAAATATATGACATGTATATATCACTGTAACTAGGAAAATGAGATGATTCTGAGATAAGCGACGAATATACAGGGCATTCCATTTAAAATAACAAGTTTGGTTTATACAGGGTGTAAATAATTTAACCGAAACTTCTTCTCGCCAAAACGAAATAATTGGTCAAATAAACTTTGTAAAAACAAATTATAGCTTCTGGTTTTCATTTTGTAGCCTGCGCACTGCATTCTCACCCTGTATATTTAATTCAAGATTTATATAAACGTTATACCTGAGGAATTAATTTTTTTATACGAATAAATTAAAAGCCTTCTTCAAACATCATTGTATTATAATTCAGTGTGAATATTTTTTTTTTACATCAACCGATTACTTATATCGCAAAATCGCTGTGGAGATACTTAGTAACAAATAGTAAGCGATCGGTACAGTCGAACTTAAAAATACACGTTTACCGCAAAACTTCCTCGAATCAGCTGACTAGTAGTATCGCCTACGATTACGACAAAAGTAAAAGTAAAGTGGGAGTAGCAATGTGTTGCATATTTACAGTGAAAATTGACACAAATGGCGGAGGAACTTTCGGCATGACCGTGAAACTGAAGTTAATTATTGTTTAAGCCAATTATTTATAAATAATTCGTAGAACACTGATGTTGTAATGGTTTCATTTTGCGGCAATAAAGTAAACAACAACGAAATTTCCACTCATGATCACGTTCCATCAACAACTTTTACCTTTAGCGAGCGTTGGTCTGTTTTGTTGCATTCGTTAAACAAAGTTTAAGGCAAAACATGGCCAAGTTATTTATAGAAGACAAAGAGGTAGCTCGACGCAATGTGTAAGAGTCGGTACCGGATTTTTAATCTTGACCGGAAGATAAGTTATTTATCTATAAACAACATGTGCGCTTGTTAACTAGTCTGCGAAAATCACTGGGTGATACACTTGATACTTGATGATAAAATAACTGAAAAGGAGTATCAATACAACGTTGATTGTCATATTAACCGGGTTGTTGAGACGCATTCGTTAGTTACTGTGAAATTGTTCGTGCAAAAATGGCTCAAATCGTATACGTTCCGGCTACGCAAGCAGGTATGTTTTAATATATTCAATGAATTTATATTGTTCTTAGTGCTCGGAATTGATTTGAATATTTTGTTTCCATACGTAATGGTAATTACAGTGACTGAAAACAAGTCAATAAGTAAGGTAATATTTGTTTGTCATCGCAAAACTGATGCATATTTTGTGTTGCTTTTTTCCAAGTGATGAAATTATAGTTTATTTTTTTAAAACTATATATTTTGAACTAGGTAGAACTTTTTCTATCTTAAAAACCAAATTAATAAAAATGTACGTAATTTATTTTATCAGCACTCCATCTGATATATTTTACAACTTAATTGGTGTATTATTGACAAATCCTTTGTATTTTGGAACAAGTTTGATGCAACTGTTTCCTCTTTGCAATATCTCAATTTCTAATTTTTTGACTGTGCAACTCTCTTGGTCAATACAAGTTCAAACTTATTTTACCCCGGTTTATTGAATATAAAATATTGTATGAAACCGATAAACTTATATTACAATTGTAATTAATTCTATTGTAGATATATGTTATACATAATTGTACATAGAGTAACACATGATTTGCGACGTCATAATAATGTGATCTGGCTAAAATTACCTTAGTCCTGGACACAGGGTGTCAAAATCAACTCTGTAGAAACTCAACAGTAATCTAAATTCTATCACTAATCAGATGACAACTTTGGCATAAACTGGTTTTTAAAGCTTTCAATTGTTTCTGTTATTATTTGCGAGACTACTTTGATCAAATCTAAATTACATAGTATGTATCTTTCACAATTTTTTTAAATGCAAATATCTCGAGAACGGTAATTCCCAGCGATGTTGAGAAGGTACACCTTTTTTATGTAAAAGTGACGGAAAAAGAGATGTTGCTACCAGAAAATAAGATACAGTATGTAGCAAAAAATTTGTGAACTATACAAATTCTAACAGGGGGTGTAAGTGTCGCCCTCTAGAATATATGACAAAATTATAAGGAACTTTTAATTTTTTATGTCAAAAAAACCCGGGATATCAAATTTCGATTAAATACATCAATTACTTCGAGGGTTATTTAAAAAAATTGAAAATATATTTTTTTAACACCCTGTAGCTCGGTTACTATCAACTATTGGACTAAGGTAAGTTTGGCCAGATCACATTCTTATGACGTCACAAATCACCTGTTCCTCTTTGTACAATTCACCTGTATAATGCATATTTAACGAAAATGTCATAGAAAATAATTATTATAGACTATTATTTCATTATTTGTGATATTTTACAGCTTCCTAACAGAAATAATAAATAAGGGATGAAATATACAGTGTGTCTAAGATAAGGATAGCATAGCATTAGGATGTAGAAAACGGTAAGAGATACGGGGGCGCTCAATTTAGAATTGTGTTTTTTTATACCCGTCAACAATATGCCGTTTAGAAAGTTTTAAAATTCCGGGTAATTTTGCTAAATCGTTTTATTTCTTTTCTGGTTTTATTTGAAAACGAATTTTAAAATAAATTGCATATTTACATTGCCATTTTTTCGCTCTATCCAATTAAAATTCGTTTTCAAATAAAGCCAGAAAAAAAAAATAAAGCGATTTTGCAAAATTTCGGGTTTTTCCGGATATATCCGGAACTGCCCGGAATTTTAAAACTTTCTAAACGGCATATTGTTAGGTATAAAAACACATTTTTTTCTAATTTGAGCCACCCCGTATATCTTACCGTTTCCAAGATCCTAATGGTATACCATCCTTATCTTGGACACACTGTATAATGATTTTGCTATAAGCATACATATAGGTAATTTTTATTACAAAAGCGACAAAATATTTTAGCGAAAACAATAAAATATGTCAAAAGTGAACATTTTAAAAGGAAACATTTTAACATCCTTTATTGTGTATATTTATAAATATAACAGTTAAGTGAAAACAAAATAATTTCAACGCCCACATATTGAATTATGTGGTCGTCTAACTACGAGTTTCATTTAAGAATAGATAAATTATTCTGTTTTGTATACCATACAACTCTACAACTATGGACAAAAACATGTGTCCGACTTGAAACATTTAAAAGGGTTCGAACAATGAAATAAATGAAAAAGAGTCATAAGCAGTTAAGCACGATAAGAAACAGACTATTGCAACCTTCATATTTCCAAAGAAAAAAAACAAAATTTGTCATTCGTCCTTTTTAGAGCAGTTCCTTTATCTAACACTAGCGCCTACGCCAAAAATTTTAAAAACTTGAGTAAACTGAAATATCTTTTCAGCTAAGTAAGCCACAAGAGCTGTATTTTTAACTTATAATTAATTTACACAATCTGACAGTGACAAGCAAAATGAGTGCATACGTGTAATGTTGTAACTAAAGGAAAATTAGCATACAATAAATAAAGTGTTACAGTTTAAATGGTGTCTTAGTTGAACCTTAAACGTGTGCGTTAGTATCAGGTTCCCAAAATTTACGATGTACAGTTTTCGGAAAGGGAAAAAGAAGGAAAATGTTACAGAAAATAGAGTGCTATTTATATACAAAAAACTACCGCCGTCACGTAAGTTTGTTTGTACATTCTTGTTTAAAAATTATAATATTAAAAGGTAATCACTGTACTCAGTATTATGTTCATTATTGTAAACTGTAATTTATTTATACATAAAACGATATAAATGTAGATATGTAAAATATCTACTACAGAATTTGTCTTCTAATAAAAGAAATTTTGTTTCTTGAAACAGTTTTTCAAATTGATTTCTTCAGTTAACTGAAACATCTATTACATTATTCTAATGTCATACCTACGTAGCATTGAATAAACTATCTACTGGTATACAGGGTGGTCCGAATTTTATGCAGGAAACTTCGAGGGCATATAGATCTCTTTAAAATAATAGGTGTTTGCCTTATAAACATAGGTCTGGAACGGCCTCGTTTTAGAGATACAGGGTGTTGAAGTTGTTAAAAAAAATTGATTTTTTGTTTATATCTCCGGAATCTATTAACCGATCTTAATAAAATTTGGTATAGATAATGTATGACAGTAAGCCTTACATTTCCTAAAATATGAGCTCTAAAGGTTCAACCAGTGGTGTACAACTGGACAGGGGTCGCCCTCTTTTTATAAAAAAAACTTACGCCACTGTATTTTTTACAAGTTATTGTAACGGATTTATATTCTAATGCACTAAATACGTAAAAAAGGTAACTTGAATTTTTTCCCTAAGATTCACCGTTCTCAAGTTATTCATACAAATACAAACCCCTTGTGGCAGACACTTCAAACCATAATATTACAAGAATATTTATGTTTATGCTTAAAAGGAAGTGCAATTTGTAAGCAGATCAACAAAATTATTTCCACATCACCTGTGAGGTAGTGTTCCTAGTGTATTTTAGTTTCTCCTGGAGGCTTAATCCACTATCTTTACAAATAAGGACAATTTAAATGAAAATAATAATAAAAATACATTTACCAAGCAACGACAATTAAACAAGAAATGAAATTAACGTTACGTATTTGCAGCAATTGTTCAAAATGCGAACCATCCACATCGATACATTTCTGACAATTTCTATTAATGATTAATGGAATTACCTAACTAATATCATGTGGTGGTTTTCTTTTAATTCATTACACCCCTCTTCTATTCGCTGCAGTAGTTGTGGTGGAGTAGAGTAAACTTTACTTTTCAGATAGGTAACCCCAAACGTAGAAGTCCAGGGGGTTTAGATCTGGCGATTTGGCTGGCCAAGAGACTGGATTCTCTGCACCATTATGGTTGACATTGGCATTTGGTCTTCAACCTATCCATCGCCCCATATAATTTTTAAGCCATTATTGTATTATTCTCCTAAAATGCGCAGGAGCACCATCCATTTGTATCCAGCTATTTTGTGGTATATTTAATGGAACATCCTCTAATAATTCAAATAGATGGTTTTCTAGAAAGTTTAGAAATGCTGGGAATTTAGATGGGGTGACAAGAAATAAAGTCCGAATTATTCCGAGCCAGAAAATTCGTTGAAAAGATCTTATCCGAATTTCACGAGGATTTTCTTGTGACCAAATATTGTGAAAATTCACTACCCCTCGCCTTGTGAACGTAGCCTCATCGGTCCAAAGTATTTCTAGTAAGAATTCTGGATTATGTTGTGACTTTAAAACAACCACTAACAAAAATTCAGGTGTGTCTACATCTCCCGGAAGTAAATTTTGCACAGGTTGTAAATAGTACGGATTTCTACCATCCTTATGTAGAACTTTTCAAATTTTCGATTTACTCACCCCAATGTTCTTAAAATTTCATTTCTGTGTCTTTCATTGAGCCGTCGTGATTTTCCAAATATCGTTTTAATCCAAAAGATGAAAGCGACGAGTGTAAAGAATTTTGTTGATGTGCTTACAAATTGCACTTACTTTTAAGCATAAACATAAATATTCTTGTAATATTATGGTTAGAAGTATCCGCCACAAGGAGATTGTATTCGTATGAATAACTTGAGAACGGTGAACTTTAGGGAAAAAATTCACGTTACCTTTTTTACGTATTTTGTACATTAGAATATAAATCCGTTACAATAGATTGTAAAAAATACAGTGGCGTAGGTTTTTTTTATAAAAAAAGGGTGACCCTGTCCAGTTGTACACCACTGGTAGATCCTTTAGAGCTTATATTTTAGAGAATGCAAGGCCTACTGTCATCCATTATCTGTACCAAATTCTGTTCAGATCGGTTAATAGATTCCGGAGATATAAACAAAAAATTAATTTTTTTTAACAACTTCAACACCCTGTATCTCTAAAACGAGGCCGTTCCAGACCTATGTTTATAAGGCAAACACCTATTATTTTAAAGAGATCTATCAGCCCAGGAAGTTTCCTGCATAAAATTCGGACCACCCTGTATATAAGTAAATGAATTAATTAATTTTGCAATAAGTTCAGGGCAAAGTTTTATTCTAGAATAAAAAAAGCCGAAGCTCTCACGCTAAAAGAGCCATACAGTAATA